TGGTTTCATTCTCTCTCGCACTCCGCTTTCCCTTTGTAAAATTACTATCCATATCCCCTGCACCTCAGCTTCCTCTGTGTGTGTCTCCACCTCCCACGGTAGCCATTTTGTGGCTCTTCCCACCTATCTGTGCCAGAATCCCAAAGAGGCCCACAGGCTCAAAAGGCTGGGAAGAGAAGAAGAAAGTGGATTTATACCCCGCCCTTCACTTGGAGTCTCAGAGTGGCTTACAAACTCCTTTCCCTTCCCCTCCCCACATGAATCAGCCTGCGAAGCTACTTTCTTTCTCTCCCCCCCACTTTTAAATACTCCCCCCCCAACAAAACTCTCTCAAGGTAGCTTACAATATTAACACAGAACCAACACTAACACAGAAACCAATCAAAACATGGCGTGTCTGAGATGAAGTCGTAAATTAATAAAACCCGACAGCTGAAAGAACAGAAGAGGAACTCCCAAAGGTCTAGTACGGCCAGAGCAAAGTCTAGTAGAGAGTCAGGCATCTCAGTTCTGAACACCGTCCTTCTCCCCCAGTGCCAACTGAACCTCAACACAACATCCAAAGAGCATGTTTGGTTTCCTGGCGTAAGTCAAGAAAACCTTAGCCTTTGGGATGGTTGCATCTGCTCAAGAGACCGCCTGTAGGCCAGAGCTCTGGCTTCTGGAACCAAAGGCACCGTAGAACTAACACCAGCAGAGAGAGGCTTACTTCGTCTCGGGCTGTTCTTCTTCCGACTCAGTCCAGGAATGCGAGCTGATGTATCGCTGCATGGAAGGGCGCTTCTCGTCCGGCTTTGCTCCTGCCAAGCTCCTGTTGGAAGAATTCAGCAAGGTGCCCTTTTTGGCTTTGCTGCGACACAGCGGAAACACCGGCTGTACACAGGAAGCCGTTAAGGGTATGGACAGGAAGGAATGGAGACGGGCACTTCCAAATAGGAAATGTCCAGGGAGTTCATCCTAGATTTACCTGTGCAGTGCAACAGAGCTCCTTCTCCCACAATCAAAGGGTGTGAGGGGAGGGTAAGGGAGACACGGGTAAAGAGCAAGGCTTCAGTAGCACCTTAAAGACTAACATAATTTGTGGCAGGAGTGCTCACTCCTTTAGATACTTGAATGCAGGGGTCATTGCCTGTGGGAGCGCACAGGAGCGGAGCTCCGGGAGTAAGGAGCCCAGGGGTCGGGCACCTCTTTTTCTACGAAATGACCCCTGCTTGAATGACTGCTGAAGATACCCGAAGAAGTGAGCAGTGGCTCACGAAAGCTCATACGCCACCACAAATTGTGTTAGTCTTTAAGGTGCTACATGACTCTTGCTCTTTTCTACTGCTACAGACAAACCTGGCTACCCATCTTGATCTAGAGACAGACGCAAGATCCCAGGTTCGGTCCCCCGGCATCTCTGATTAAAAAGGCTCAGGCAGCATGTGATGCGAAAGACCTCCGCCTGAGCCCCTGAGGAGCTGCTGCCGACCTTGATGGACCGGGGGTCTGATTAAATATAAGGCTGCTTCATGTGTTCACGTGGGGGGGGGGGAATACCAAGTGAGAGAACAGGCCGGACCTTATGGGGCAGAGGGTATGCATTTTTATCCAGGACTCAGGATGGTTCTGTTACCTGCCCGGAGAGCATCAAAATAAAGGAAGTTTAACTGTTACTTTTGAGCTGTGGCAGCAGGAACCATCTGCTCTACAGACGTGCAGGCATACAGCTTGAGCCACTTGGCCTAACACCTCTCAGAGAGGTTGCAAAGTCGGTACAGTCTTTTTTGGGTATTTTATGTACTTTTTGTGTGTGCGTGTGCGCGACAATTGAGAATCCAAACATTCCAGAGCCTTTTCTTTTTTGTGCTTTTATGTGCATGTGTGTGAGCATGTGAGTGTGTGTGTGCACCTGGAAGTCATGGCGACCGCTGGTGACTGACCCCTACAGGGCGGTTGGATAAAGCCTGCCCCTGTCTTCCCAGCTACTGGTATTCCTTGGAGGTCTCCCATCCAAGGACTTGCCACAGTCGACCCTGCTGAGCTTCCGAGATCTGACGAGACCGGGCTTGCCTGGGCTATCCAGCTCAGGGCAGTTGTTGGGACAGTCTCGATGTAGTTTTAGATACCACCAAGGCCATTTCAACAGGACCCACAACACACTCCATATCGAGTGTGTCTGAGCTCCGTTTTTAGGAAGAGACGCCCAAAGTGAAAGTCACCACGTCCGCCTGGGAACCCTACCCAAATCCTTTACACTCCTGCCACTCAGAAGCAGAACACATCCTGCACTTAAGGTATAAGCTTTGGTGTGCAAGCACACTTCTTTGGCATGCACACGGAAGCTTATACCCAGAATTAAACTTTGTTGGTCTTAGAGGTGCCACTGGACTCAAACCATGATGTTTGCTGCCCAAAACAGGTCTCCTCGCTCCTGCATGTGGATTCCTCCGCCGCTTTCTTTCATTTCCGCAGAGGTGTTTGCAGTCCAAGGAGCAAAAACGCAGTTTGCTCACTCCTGTGGCGCAACAAGGGAATTCCCAGAAACAGGGAAGCCTGATGCTGCACGTTTTTGTGCCTCGGACTGCAAATACCTCTGCGGAAACGAGTGAAAGAGGCGGAGGCAGGGGTCATTTTGTAGAAAAAGAGGTGCAGGAGCTCATTAGCATAACTTATTTGCATAACTTATTTGCATATGCCACACCCTCTGACATCACCGGAAAGGTGTCAGAAGGTAACACTCACCACTCAGGCTCCACTGGACTGTTTTGGATTAGGAGCAGGGGGTGGGGCTTGTTGCATGTGCCCGCCCCCTGGGCTCCTTATTGCCGGAGCTCCGCTCCTGTGCGCTCCCGCAGGAAATGCCCCCTGGGCGGAGGAATACAAATGCAGGAGCGGGGAGGCCCGTTTGTGCAGAAAACGTCTGTGTCCTGCTGCTTCAGACCAACACGGCTACCCACTCTGAACTTGCTCATGAGGAACTTGCATTCTAAGGTCAGGCCCTGCCACTGAAAGCAAATGCTGGCATAAAATAACTCCTGGTCACCTGTCGTCAGTGGAAAGTTTGCATCACGCAAACATGCAATATGCTATATGCTATTCTAGGTTCTTTTCGTCGGAAAAGAAGTTTGAAAGAGGAAGGTGACCCCGCGGTGACCCCTGAAGAGGGAACGCACGATCTTAAAAGGAGTACTTCTTCCTCCACTCAGTTCAAGTTCTGTACCAAAGGGATTCCTGTGCAGTAAAGTGTGGGACCGTGAGCACCACCCTCAGGCACAAGAGTTGATAATCCAGGAGCAGATTTCAAGTGTCGAATACGGAGCTACTGGGATGAATCCAGATTTAATGGGCCGTCCCCACTGATGCCATCCTTGCGGCTGCAGCAGCACTCCCTGGGGTCCCCTCTCTCCGTTTCGTGGAGACCTGTGGAAGGGGGAAGCGGTGAAGTCCCATTCTGCTGATGGCAAGATATAGCCTGGATCCAACCCACTGTTTGGACCTATGTTACAGGGGCACCTGAAAGCTCTGGAACGTGCCCTGACCTGGATAGCCCAGGCAAGCCTGATCGCGTCACATCTCGGAAGCTCAGCAGGGTCAACTTGGGTGGGAGACCTCCTTGGAATGCCATAGGCGGGAGGTGGGGGCAGGCTGCATTCAGCCACATCTCTGGATATCCTCCAGGCCCCTAGTAGGGGCCAGTCACCAGAGGTCGCCGCGACTTCCAGGTGCGCACATACTCTCACACACACACACAAAAACAAAAAAAAATTGCAAAAAAAAGAAGAAGAAAGCTCGCAATGTTTGGATTCTCAGTTGAACAGATTTAGAGTCCAGTGGGGCACCTTTAAGACCAACACAGGTTTATTTGAGGTATGAGCTTTCGTGCCGCTGCTAACTGATCTACCAAGGGCTGGTGGCTCTGTTTCAGAGAGGCTCGGGGTAGCACTTTGGCCAGGTTTAAGACGAATTAGCCTCTATGCTGATGATGCACGGCGATAAACAGGGGTCATTTCATTAAAAAAGAGGTGCAGGAGCTCATTAGCATAACTCATTAGCATAACTTATTTGCATATGCCACACCCCCTGACATCACCAGAAGTGAGTCAAAAGGCAACACCCACCGCTCAGGCTCCACTGGACTCTTGGATTGCTAGCTATGGGGGGGTAGGATGCGCAGATCTGCCCTCACAGAGGAGGGAGAGCTTGTACCTGAAAAAAACTTGGTCTTAAAGGTGCCACTGGACTGTTTTGGACCGGGGGGGGGGGCTCTGCAACTTACCTGGCTGCTTCTTGCTCTGACTGAGGGCTGCTGGGAGCAGGGGGTGGGGCTTGTTGCATGTGCCCGCCCCCTGGGCTCTTTACTGCCGGAGCTCCGCTCGTGTGTGCTCCTGCAGGAAATGACCCCTGGAGATAACCTATTATTCCCTTTCTTGCTTGGTCCCCTTACTGTGTTTTTTTATGGGGAGTTGACGTGTGTGTTCTGGTTCCTAATGCTTACTTTGAGAATCTTGACAGTGGTATGTGAGGATAGTTTTATCCTTTTCCATAGGGCATGGAGGAAAAAGAAGGAATATAAAAAGCCCTTCTTATCATCTATAAACCTGTGTTGGTCTTAAAGGGGCCCTGGTCTCTAAAATTTGTTCCAGTGCTTCAGACCAAGACGGCTGACCACCTGGATCGGGAGTCTCGATTGTCGCTTTCAAACACAGGAGAAAGCCTAGCGGCCTTACCAACTCGGGCGCCTGTTGAATTTATCATTCCGGTCGCTTCCATCCGTTTCGTTCAGCTGAGCCTTTGGAGAAAGAGAGAAGAGCCCTCAGTCTGTATCCGGCCAAAGTATTTAGGGTAAGTGAGAGACTCGGTATCTGAAACGTGCCTACGTACCAAGGGCAAGCCGGAGCTGGCATTTCCCACATTCCTGGGCAAGGCTGCGATGCTAACTCTGCGTAGGGATGACTGCTAGGGAAACAAGAGATGACTGCACGATGGGTTACACATTTGAGTGCTTAGCAGCCCTGCACCTTCAAGACAGGGGTAGCACTTACAGAAGCAAAGTCTAATTCCAGAATGGTCTCGGAATTGTTCCTTCTGCAAGAAAGGATCCATTCTGTTGGCACCGGCACTCAACTCTGGCCCAAGGAAGAGGAAAGTGCCGCCACCAGCGGATCAGCGCCAGAAGAAGAGGAAAGTGCCACTCTTGGAGGAGAAGATCCACAGAATCCAACCCGTATGTTTCCCACATGTGCTAAAGCACATGATCTGAAACGTGTGCACGGTGGTAAGTGCTCTTCAACACTAAACAGTGGCCTTAGCACATCACCTAGCTCAGCTACCTGCCCTGGAACATCTGCAGCGACGTGGAGTGGACAACCTTTATGGCCTGCCTGCCAACCCCCTCCAAGCACCGGTGTAGTGGTTAAGAGCGGCGGACTCTAATCTGGAGAACCAGGTTCGATTCCCCACTCCTCCTCCACATGAAGCCAACTGGGTGACCTTGGGTCAGTCACAGTTCTCTCGGAGCTCTCTCAGCCCCACCTACCTCACAAGGTGCCTGTTGTGGGGAGAGGAAGGGAAGGCGATTGTCAGCCGCTCTGAGACGCCTTCGGGTAGAGAAAGGCGGGGTATAAAACCAACTCTTCTGCTACTTGTGAGACTACTAGTTTGCCAGCCAATGAAAGGGGAAAGGGAGAGATGTTGAAAGTACTTGGCCCCACATCATGGCAGCTAAACCCGACAAACAAAGAAAGGTCGCATCTGCATTTGTCTTTCCCACCGGTGTCCCAGCCTTCTGACACCGTCTTTAAAAAAGCTGTCTACATTTGGTGCCGTTTTCACGCCTCAAGAGTGCTAGCCTACTTTTGCACGTCCAGCATATGTTTATTGCCCTTTCATGGCGGCTCCACTGTCACTGCTGTAAAAGGATCTTCTCCAAACAACAGTCAAGCAAGCATAGCGAAAGACGGCGTCACAGCAGCACGAAACTGATTGAAAAAAATGCAAATGCAGATTCGACCAAAGTGAAAGCGGCATGCAGCGCAGAGGGAGATGAACCTCCCAATGTGGCTGTGGGAAAACTGCGGGGAAACAGACGGATGCAGAATCATCCCAAGGCAACTTGATGCCACAAGCGGAGGGGGAGGAGCTAGAAGCAAAGCAGAAGATTCCAGCAGCAGAGGAACAGCAGCAGCAGCATGAGCTTGGGCCTCAAAATGCAAACAAGAAGCAGAATGAAACCTCGACTTTTCCGTTTCCAGGAATATCTGCGCAGACGAATGCAACTTAAAGACAGCACGTTTAGCAGACTGCTGCCAGCGCAGAAGCGGCTTGTCCATCCAATTCCTCATAACCCTCCACGTGCTCCTGGACGGAACTACACAGTAGTCGAATCTTCGGGGGGGGGGGTGTTTGAAAGGCTGGTGGCTCGTAGCTTTCTGCCTTGTATATAAGCAACTTTGAAAGATTCCTCAATTTGTGCTTTTTTAAAAATCCCCCACTTTGGATATGAATTCTGCAGGCACCTACATCCAGTCCAGGAGGTCGCGAGTAGATGCATTAAGCAAGTTTGCACGATTTTGTTCATCTTCAGGTTTGTTTGTCTGTTTATAAAGCTAGAAATTGGGAGGCAAGCACAGGAGGGAAGCACCGAGCCGGGCATCGCTGCTTGGCTGTCCACTCCCGAATCTGCATTTGTCTTTCCCACCGGTGTCCCAGCCTTCTGACACCGTCTTTTAAAATTTGCACCGTCTGCATATGTTGATCGCCCTTTCATGGCGGCTCCACTGTCACGGCTTTAAAAGAATCTTCTCCAAACAACATCCAGAGAAAAACATCCGTCACAGCGGCACGAAACTGATTTAAAAAAAAATGCAAATGCAGATTTGACATTCGAGGTTTTCTGCCCCAAATAGGATTGGGGAGTCCTACAGATTTTAATGGAGTCCGTTTCAAAGCAGCCGTGCTGAGGAGGCAGCCGTCAGCTCAGAGAGGTATGTTGAGTCCCATGAACTCGGTAGGAATAATGTTAATTTGGGGGGGGGTTGCACCCACTATTTTGGATGACCACTCTATGTATTCAGTGAGAGCCACTGTTGAATGGTCTTTCCTCCCCCCCCCCCCGTTTGTGTCTCTCAAGTACTGTCAAGTTGCAGTGGACTTGTGGTGACCCTGCAGGGTTTTCAAGGCAAGAGATGTTCAGAGGGGGTTTGCCGTAGCCTGCCTCTGCGTAGCAACCCTGGATTTCGCAGGGCTCTTTTTGTAGCAGGAACTCATTTACCTATTAGGCCACACACCCCGAATGTAGCCAATCCTCCAAGAGCTTACAGAGCTCTTCTTACAGGAGCTACTGTAAGCTCTTGGAGGATTGGCTACATTAGGGGGGGTGTCACTTAATATGCAAATGAGTACCTGCTACAAAAAGAGCCCTGCGAGGGGGTTTCTCCATTCCAAGGTCTAACCCAGGCTGACCCCGCTTAGCTCCCAGGAGCTGATGAGGGTGAGCCAGCACGGGGAGCGGTGGCACAGTGGGTATATCCCACTGCCTTAACGTCCGAACTGTGTCAGTTCGAGCCCCGCGGTGGTGTGAGCAGCCAGCCTGTTGTCCCCAGCTCATCGTCCACCCAGCGATTCGAAAGCCTCGGCGAGTGGATAAAATGGGAACCACTCCTTAGAGAGGGTGGGCACACCTACTCCCCTGTGGGAAGGTGTTAGCTGTCGTGTGTGTGATGTCCTGCCCCGGGACCGGAAAGGCGGAAGAACTACTCGGCTACAAAAAATCCCTGCAGTGGGATACTTCGGCCAGGCGGTGGCAGTGTGGCGATACGACATACAGGTCCTGAAGCCCCAACGTCATCAAGCCGGTTGACGCAGCTGTTCGGGACGTGACTGATCCAAGCCAGAGACGTTTCCACCATGCAGTTACGGGCGTGTGCAATTAAAAATGAATATATGTTGGCTTTCCTATCCCCTATGAAACACTGTTAGTCCCCTGTCTAAAAGTGTAACTGTAAATCACTTTGAGCCCACTCGTGGGGAAAGCGATTAATAAATCGAAAGGTATTATTATTATTATTATTATCTAGGTCAAGTTAAACAGATGTTCAGAGGTGGTTTTGCCATTTCCTGCCTCTGCATAGTGACCCTGGACTTCCTTGGTGGTCTCCCATCCAAGGGCTCACCTGGGCCGTCCAGGTCAGAGGAGTTGAACGGAAGAAGTTTAAATACTTGGACTGTTTGCATTCTGCAGCCGGAGGGGTGGGCATGGGGAGGGGAAGCAGGGAGGCCATTCAATAGACTCTGCTTTCCAGGATTATAAGCCGCACACAACACAGGAAAGGCCACGTCGAGCACTAAGCCAAGCGAAAAGCAAGCCGCTCTGCATTGCAACTGCAGCTGTACCTTTAGAGAGCCCGAGAGTTTTTTACTTGAAGGTTCGTCTGCAAGAGGAATAAGAACGGCAGCAGGTGGTGAATAGCGTAGGGCCATGGCCTCCAGGGACAAACACCACAACCCTGTGTCTCCGCTATGAATCCCCAATGGCTAGTTTATGCTAAGCTATCTAAAAGGGGAAGGAGCATGCAAAGATACGGGAGCCGGTGTGGTGTTGTGGTTAAGGGCGACGGACTCTTGTCTGGAGAACCGGGTTTGATTCCCCACTCCTCCTCCGCATAAAGCCTGCTGGGTGACCTTGGGCCAGTCACAGTTCTCTCTGAACTCTCTCAGCCCCACCTGCCTCACAAGGTGCCTGTTGTGGGCAGAGGAAGGGAAGGCGACTGCAAACTGCTTTGAGACTCCTTGAAGTAGAGAAAAGCAGGGTATAAATACCAATTCTTCTGCTACGGACCTCCCCACTGCCTGCTGAATGGGCGGAGACTAGATCCCGTCATCGTAGCATTGCAACGGTTGAGCTTCATATCTGGAGAGCTCCGGGTCAAATGATGCCACAGCCACAAGACCGCTAAGTGGCCAGAGGCAACGGACTCTTTTAGCCACCTGTAGCGGAAGTGGCCTACTTTGCATCGCTACCACAGAGTTTACAAGCACTTTGAAGACTTGAAAATGCGACATGTGCCAAACCTCTGGAGGCTGGGAGGGAACGTCAGGAGAAGGCCTTGGCCTCTATTGGCCTGTTTGTTGTCCCTCCAGGGCATCTGGTTGGCCGCTGTGTGAGACAGGAGGGTGGACTCGATGGACAAGTGGTCTGATCCAGCAGGGCACCTCTTGACCAAAGTATTTCCCCCCATTTTGTAGAACAGATACATAAACTCTCTACTTCTACACTGATGGATCAGGTGAAATGCTCTCCACAAAACAGCTTCCTTCTATGGTAATTCTCAGTGTCTGAAACTGCTTATGGGATATGCCACGGAATGCAAGTTCGGGCACATAACACACTGGAAGGCACGTGAGCATGTTGCATGCCACATAAGAAGTCTCTGCATGTTCAGTGTCTGTCTGATGCTAGGCAACCACACCCTTTGTTGTTGTTGGCCGCCCAGTCGCAGCTGACTTATGGCGAACCCATAAGGTTTTCAAGGCAAGAGACATTCAGAGGTGGTTGGCCATTGTTTACCCCTGCTGGTGGACCTCCTGACGGCACCTGGGTTTTGGCCACTGTGTGACACAGAGTGTTGGACTGGGTGGGCCATTGGCCTGATCCAACATGGCTTCTCTTATGTTCTTATGGCCCTGATGGTAGACCTCCTGATGGCACCTGGGTTTTGGCCTCTGTGTGGCACAGAGTGTTGGACTGGATGGGCCATTGGCCTGATCCAACATGGCTTCTCTTATGTTCTTATGGCCCTGCTGGTGGGCCTCCTGACGGCCCCTGGGTTTTGGCCACTGTGTGACACAGAGTGTTGGACTGGATGGGCCATTGGCCTGATCCAACATGGCTTCTCTTATGTTCTTATGTCTGGAAAGGGATGCTCTGTATTCTTGGTGCTTGGGGGGCAACAGTGGGAGGGCTTCTGGAGTTCTGACCCCACTGGTGGAGCTCCTGATGGCACCTGGGTTTTGGCCACTGTGTGACACAGAGTGTTGGACTGGATGGGCCATTGGCCTGATCCAACATGGCTTCTCTTATGTTCTTATGTCTGGAAAGGGATGCTCTGTATTCTTGGTGCTTGGGGGGCAACAGTGGGAGGGCTTCTGGAGTTCTGGCCCCACTGGTGGGCCTCCTGACGGCACCTGGGTTTTGGCCACAGAGCGCTGGACTGGATGAGCCATTGGCCTGATCCAACATTTGCTTCTCTTGTGTTCTTATGTCATGACCCTGGTATTGTTTGGCAGACTCCCATCCAAAAACTAGCCAGGGCTGACGTTGCTTAGCTTCCAAGATCTGACAAGGTCGGGCTAGCCTGGGCTACCCACCCCCTACCCTACGGGAAAGTAAACAGCAGCTGTGGGGGCTCTCGCTAGCATCTTCTCAGCCGTTACCTCGGTCCCCTGAAGAGCTGAAGGACTTTTCGTTCTGGAACAACACCTCCTTCAGCTCCTCCAGTTCCGCATGCTCTCTCGTGTAGGTACGCTTCAGGTTTTCCACGTGCTGAATCATCACTTCTACCGCTTTACTGACTCGGCTCTCCTACGAATTAAAGTTAGGAGTGGAAAGAGACTGGCTGGTGAATTCGGCGGCTACTCCATCATGAGCGAGGAGGGAGAACCGCGGGGGCCATGCACCTGGATCGCGTCACTCACAAATGTCTCACTCGCACACTCCGGCTATTCTGTATGCACAGAGGGATTCAAAATGGCACTGGAAAACCACATAAATCAGAACATGGGGTTTAACTCTGCACCGTCTAGTATCGCTTGAAGAGAATGCAACCTCGTTAGGGACCACAGTTCTGGCAGCCACTCGATTCTACAACACAATATTGTTCTTCCATGCGCAGTGGAACCAGAAGCCCGTTGGATTGGAAGGGGACCACAGCTAGTGGTTAGATTCCCATGAGCAGGACACTGCTTGAATGAGAAGACATCCACCATGACTCAACTTTGAAAGGATGCCCATAGTGGAAGCAAGTTGCAGCTATAACAGGAGCCAGTTTGGTGTAGTGGTTAGGAGCACAGACTCTAATCTGGGAGAACTGGGTTTGATTCCCCACTCCTCCACATGCAGCTGCTGGTGTGACCTTGGGTCAGTCACAAGTTCTTTCAGAACTGTTCTGTCAAGAGCAGTTCTTGAAAGTGCTCTCTCAGCCCCACCTACCTCGCAGGGTGTCTGTTGTGGGGAAGGGAAGGGAAAGGAGCTTGTAAACTGCTCTGAGACTCCTTAGGGTAGTGAAGGGGGGGGTATAAATCCAATCTTGCCTTCTTAAAACTTCCAAATATTAAGGAAAAGTGAAATTCGTTCACCTGACAACCAATTGCAGAGGTGATGATGCGGACTGTAGCCCTCAAAAGCTTATCCTAGAACAGTTCCGCAGCTTATCCTTGTGCAGTTCCGCAGGGCCTGCAAAACGGAGCTCTTCCACCAGGCTTATGAGTAGGAGCCGCCACAGCCACTTACACCACCGCTCTTTATAAAGAGAGACCACCGGGGGTGGGGGGGGTGGGGCAACATCTTTCCATCACCCCAGCCTTCCCCCCCTGTTACACAAGATGTTAGGAGTTATATGTGCATCCGCAGAACTGATTTTAAGTTGTTTTAAGTTGTTTTAATTCTGTATTTTGTATCATGTAATTTGTATACTGAACGGATTTGGTGCCTTATGTGAGCCGCCCTGAGCCCGCTTGCGGGGAGGGCGGGGTATAAATGTCATTAAAAATGCCTTTTAATCTTCAGTTGCCACAAGAATTGTGGAGTTTGTTCATCTGACAACTTCCTATCCAGGGTGTGACAGCAGACTGTGTACTTATAAAAAGGTACAGAACGATTGGGGACAGAGAAGTAGGAAGTATATGAAAAGACTTGTCAAGCTCTTTTCCTAATACTGGGCACCGATGTTCCCTCTAATCTCCCCCCACTACGGAGTGGAATGGTTCACATCCTAAGCATAATATAACTGCTGTACTCTTAAAATGGGCCATAGGCAGTGCAAGAGCCTGCACAGCTCCAGATTACTGTTGAGCGGGGCTTCCCGTGTTAATGAGCGGCCGATCACGCACACAGCTTTGGAGGAAACACTGCTGAGCACCGAAATTATGTTTTATGAGGGGGGAAGGAGTGTTTTTTGCTTATCCCTTCTTTGCCCAAAGGGGAGCCGGGTGGAAGGAGTATACCATTAGGAGTTGGCCTGTCTTGAGCGGCATGAGAAGCATATTATGTTGCCTATAAAGCTAATGAGCGGCCAAAGGCTTAATAGACAGCCCCGGGTGTTTCTTGATGGCTGGACCGCCCTTCTCTCCGGGTGCTGGAAGAAAGCTTCCTTCAGTAGAATATTGGTTTATAGCAATTCCATGCTAAGACACCAAGTGAGAGAGAAAGAGCCATGCTTAAGATGGCTAAAACAGAGGCATAACTGGGGTGCAATTCTCTCTTTAGGACTGACGGTTATGCCGCCTACTGTAGGAGTACACTTTGCTTCCAGTAGTCTCTGCTTATAATGCAAATCGGCCATGTTACAAAACTGACGGTGTACATCTCCAGGGCATTTCCCCAGCAAACGGAAAATGAAATCCTGAAGCAATAGCCCCGGGCTTCTTTCTGCTCAGGCGAGAGAGCACAGTGTACTATTGATCATGCCACATAATCACTGTTTGGAAGCCAAAAGGAATCCATGAACTATGAAGGCCTATTTCAGACACTTCTTTTGAGAGTGTGATTCAGTTCATGGGGCTGAAGAGCAAGTTGATTTCTGCCCCCCCCACCTCTGTCCCACGCTGTACCATACAAGGGAGTTGCTTCATATGGAGGCCTGTACAGTTAATGGCCCAGTTCATAGTTAGAAGAAAGCATGAGAACACCATGACAGCTGGGCCCTCCCACATGTGGTCTTCTGTTACTTTGTACGGTACACTGGGAATGTTGTGGAGAAGAGGTAGGGATGCCAGACAAGGGGCATGCGCCAAACACAGTATTTTTCAGGCTCAGATGTACCAAACCCGAAAAATATTGGTAAAAGCAGATATTCTCGAATCCCAGTATCAGTATGTTACAGGGGTTCAGGAAAAGATCAGTACTGCCGAATATATTCAGCTCCATTATACCCTTTGAGGACCGTCCCAGGGACCATACCCATAGGGTATAATGATCCCCCCCACTCCCCCCCTGCTGGCCATTTAAACCTAACAGCTGACAGGCAGATCGCCTGTCAGCTGTTAGGTTTAAATGGTCAGCTATCTCAGTAAGGGGAATGTACCCAAATAAAAGCCGAATAAGACCAGCTTTTATTCGGGATGACCTTACCAGTTTGCTGGATCAGATTAGAGAATCTGATTCGGCTGAATCATACCTGACAAATACCGATGAGGCATTTATCAGGTATTTATTTGGTTCGGCTTAGCTGAATGCACATCCCTATGTCAGACCCCTCAGTGGGGATGGAGAAATTACCCCCCCCCCCAAAAGGAAGAACACCAGAAATTAAAGTGACATGCCTATGTGACCCAGAAGTGACGTAGGCACATTGGTGGTGACGCTCTGGTTTTTGGGCTAAAACTCTATGGCAGAAGCTAATTCTACCATAGAGTTCTATGGCAGAAGCTAATTCTACCATAGAGTTTTTGCCCAAACACCAGAGCATGTCCTCCCCCCATGTCCCTGACGTCACTTCTGGGCCACTTAGGCACATCGTTGAAATGTCAGGCGTTCCTCCCTGCTCCCAGTAAGCCTCATGGATCATTCTAAATAAAAAGCCGAGGGACCTGGAAACCCTAAGAAGAGGCATGGCCCCAAAAACTCTTCTCACGTGCAAACTGAACTGATACCTCATTAAATTACTGGAATCAGCCCAAAGTCCTTAAAACAACTACTCGAGATGAAATGTTTTCTTAGCACAAGAGTGAGGAGCTTGGGGGAACAGATTCTCTAACTCAGCCTTTTCTACTTTTATGCATTTAACGTTAAGTCTCCACTCGGGTTTTGTGACACACCACGACACAAAGAGGCCTAATCGTTTCTCTCCCCTATATCGAAACATGGGGGTCCCTCTGCAGCTAAAGACCTAGAGCCTCATGGATCATTCTAAATAAAAAGCCTAGAATGTCACAGAGCTAACAGTCCAGGCTGGGCTCCTCTGGACCTCCAGGTCCCCTTCCCCTCCTGTACCTATTGCCCTGGGCCTAACACTATCGATACAGCTGCCAGCTCTGGGTTGGGAAATCCCTGGAGATTTTGGAGGTGGAGCCTGGGGAGGGTGGGGTTTGGGAAGGGGAGGGACCTCCGCAAGGCACAATGCCACACAGCCCCTACTCCAAGGCAGCCGTTCCTCCAGGGGAACTGATCTCTGTTGTCCAGAGACCAGCTGTAACAGTGGGAGATCGTCAGGCGCCACCTGGAGGTTGGCAGCCATAAATATCAACAAGATTCACGTGGCAAAGTTCGTACCAAAAAAAGAAATCGATTTGTGGACATGAAATACATACAGACAATCCGCTGGGTGTTTTGAATCAATGCAAATGTCCATCAGCAACCTCTCTGGTACTAGGCTTTGTACAAGACTCCTCCCACGCTTTAAATCTCCTCCCCCTGTTCCATTTGGCTTACAGGCTCCACTGCCCTGACAACACCAGCGCCCAGCTCCTACAGAGCTTTTCCGGGCCGCAGAGGTTTCCACCCTTCACAACGGACCTCTCACTTCTCTCCCAACGGGTGCGCCGTTTTTCAACATTCTGTGGCTGCCCTTTCCCTCCCAGCCATTGCCATGGTGACATCACAGCTGCTCAGCCCACAATAAGCAACATCTTGAAGGAATGGGCCATCCTTTGCTTGTACATTAGAACAGTCCGCTCTTACCGTTTCCCGGGATGTATCACTTACTTGATGGATGGCTCCCAGCATTTCTGCCTTGCTGGCAACCCGGCTGGTATACAGGCTGAGGAGCTCCAAGCTCTTCTGCAGCTTCTTCACTATTTCCTGCGCTTGGTTATCTTCACTGAGAGGGGCCAGAGACTGGTCAAAGAGCACATTCACAGTCAGAGGGGAAAGGATGGCTTCTAATGTCCTGGCCCCACTGGTGGACCTCCTGATGGCACCTGGTATTTCTGGCCACTGTGTGACACAGAGTGTTGGACTGGATGGGCCTTTGGCCTGATCCAACATTGGCGTCTCTTATGTTCTTATGTCTGCCACTTTTGAGCAGCAGACCCATGTTTGCCGCATCTCGTTCCACCCCTAAAGAGCACAGTTTAACCACCACCCCTCTCAGCACAGTCCCTTCTGTTAAATAAGGGCTCTGAGTGAAATGCCTTAAGTCCAGGCCTGGAATTCCTGCCACACGGGAAGTTATTCTGTTCCGATGCCCCTCCCTATTCTCCTTTGGCAAAAACCAGATGCATTTTGAAACAGCAGTCAGAGAAAAGTCCTTCACCCCCAGCATGAGCCCAGCTTAGGATGAGAAGCACATTACCCGTGAATCAGAACACCAGCTAGGGATTTTTTGGGGAGGGGGCCTTGGGGGGGCCCAGTAGCCAATTAAAACAACGTTAATTAAATTAACTTTAATTGGTGGGACTCCTTATAACTCCTAAGGCAGCCCTGTACCCCCCAGGCTCCAGGGCAAGGGGGGGTAATGCCCAGCAGCCGTAGCTTCCCTCCATCCCCACTCAGCAAGGGCAGGCCTTCCCTGCAGAGCGTCTGGCTCCCCCCTAAGAAGCCCCAGTTCCTCTTCTCACGGCACGGCACAAGGGGCAGCCTGATGTCCATGGGTTGGGAGATCCATGGCTCAGGGAGGGGCCCATAAAAACCATGAGGGGGCCAAGCCCCGTGGGCCCCATGGTAGCGACGGGCCTGCCCGTGAGTCAGAACACCAGCTAGGCAAAGTGTTTTGCCCACCACGCCACTATTCAGACAACATGGTCACTTTTGGGTGTCTATTTGTTTTTCCCCTGCCACATAAAATGCATACCACAAACATTTAAGAGTGTTTGCAGATGTGCTTTGTGTTGGAAAAGGCAATGTCTGGTACAAAGAAGAGAAGAAGATGACCTTGCAGTGGGCAGCAAGAAGACAAGAAGACCTTCTCTCCTGTTAAGTGCCATTCCTTGCCTGTCTCTGGATTGCTACTCACAGGGCAATTCCCCACCCCTTCTTCTCGGAAGTGCCACGCTCAGTCTTACCCTCTCTCTCAGCTAGAAATGTAGTTGGGAACCTATCTCTGTCTCTCCACTTTCCTATCTAGTATATTAATTCCCAAATAAATCTTATCTACTCTTTAATCAGGTTGTGTGCCATTGCTGTGTTAATTACTCTGCCAACACTTGGGAGACTGGAACAGGGGAGGACGGGGTGTGTTGGTGACGGCACGGATGCTGTCCAGTTGACGCCTCCCACTGCTGAATTCCCCCCCCCAAATCACAGACCTTTTCTTTCTCCCACTGCTCGCCCAGACTTGCCCTCCCTAGAAAGAGCTCTGCAAATGCAGAAGGAAATTCCAGATTTAACTCGCAGATACATTAAATATTCATCTCCCACCCTTCAGAAGACTTCACTTCCTTTTGTTGGTTACCTTCTCCCCTGCCTGCCCACTTCTTACCTCTAGTAATTTCAAGGCACTGGCAATCTCCTTTTTCAAGTTCTCTTCAGCCAGATCCCGGGACCTTTCTTCCAGCCTCACTCTTTTCTCCAGAGTAAAGAGGTCGCATTTGAATCCCAGAGAGAGCCTGAGAAATTCTGCCTGTTGAAAGGGACAACAAAACAGAAGGGGTCAAGGTGGAATAAGTACAAAACAATAGAAAACACCGCGTGTAAACATACAATATATGCAAATAATGTTTAACAAATATTGTGTGTAATGTATTAAAGAAATATAATCATATTATAGGTGTTTACATTCGTATATAGACAATCAATTGCGTAATCAAAGTAACAAAGAATATAAGGGGAACAAGTCCAAATATTCTTCTTATCTAGATAGCTAGTTTCTGTGCAAGATAATCCAAAAGTAGTATATCTCAGAGCTTGTTGCTGTAGAAGAAACGATTCAACAGTCCCACCACTGTAGGACAAATAATCCTCACTTGCCAGACCAGCGATTTAATGACTTCCCGGTTGATAAGCCGTTTCCAGCCTTCTTTCTCAAGATTCACTCAATATATTGTACTAGCAGTAAAGCCCGTTGTGAAAGCAATACAACGAGATCTAGAAAGAGGCTCTGGGGCAGTGCTCTGGCTTTGGGCAAACAGTGTCAATTTGCTGTGGTGACCTTAGCAGGGTATAATGACAGAGTCCACTGTTTTCTCCAGAGGAACTGATCTCTGCTACCTGAAGAGCAGTTGTAATTGTGAGTAATCTGTAGCCCTCACCTGGAGATTGGCAACAATTGTTACCCAGGACAAAATGGCTGGTTTGGAGGGTGGAGTCTATGGCATTCTACCTGTCTGAGGTCCCACCCCTCTGCAAACCCCACCCTCTCCAGGCTCCACCCCTTCAAATCCCTAAGAATTTGTCAGCATGTAGTTGGCAACCCCATCTCCTTCCCAGCTAGCCACCAACCTACCATTATCTGCCCCTTTGACTTCAGCTGACTTCTGCCCTCCCTTCTGCAGAACAGTTGTAATACTGAGTGCTCTCCAGCCCTCACCTGGAGATTGGCAACAATGGTTCCCTATGTGGGACTGACTGGTTTGGAGGGTGGAGTCTATGGCAGTGTACCTGTCTGAGGTCCCACCCCTCCTCAAACCTCACCCTCTTCAGGCTCCATCCCTCAAACCTCCAGGAATTTCCCATCTGGAGTTGGCAACCCTATCAGGATTGGCCCCAATGTGTTTTCTCCCAAAGGCCAAAGTAGGTGACAGGACCAAGCTTAGTTGCCTACCAACAGGCACTGAGGGGAATGTAGGGTTGCCAGCTCTAAGGAGGGAAATACCTGGAGGTTTGGGGGGTGGATTCTGTAGAGGGCCGGGCGACGGAGGCATCGGCCTTCTGTCGCCCGCCTTGCCCCCCCAATCTCGGCCCGGGCGACCGCGGCTCC